GCGAAAAGAATGTGGCTGTCATGGGCTAGTCGAATCCGAGTGACGATCATGACTTCAGTGCAGTACAGGCTAACGTTGAAGAGAGGAGACGGTGTAGCCATGTGGCGAGGAACGACATACTGGAGACCAGATGCTGCAGACCCACCGAGACTTGCTTGCAATGGTTCTAGCCGTCTTGGTCACGCCGCCCTCGCGTCGATGCAGTGTGATGAACGCCATGCATGGTGGATATTCGGAGTCGCGGCTGGCTTGGCAGCGCAGTGATAGTGGCCTCCGACTCGCTTCTCGGTGCAGCTTCGTCAGCCTTGCATGTCGGAGTGGGAGTTGCAACACTGGGAGCCGTTCACGAACGTGGAATGTTCGGCGTCAATGTGCTGACAAGTATCCAGGACCGATCAAACGCGGCCGTGTAGCGGCGTCGGCGTCGGCGTCGACACCTACATTGCATGCATCTCTCCATCCTCCTTCTTTAAAGGCCGCGTTTACCAGCCACGTGCCTTAATGTAACTCGCAGCACTGAACAGGAGAGAGCCGACTAACTCAAGCCGAGGTCAGGCATAGCGTCCTAATGCGCCACCGAAACAGGCGTCGAGCTCGCTGGCAGCGTGTGCAACGTGGACAACATGTAGCGCGTGGACACAAGTGTCCGCAGCCGAATCGTCCATATGCCGCGTGAGGCACTCTGAGCGCCGCACATTGAGCGCCGCCGCATTGATTCGCAGCACTTGCATCTCAACCTGCTGCGCGTCGAATGCAGCCACCTCGCCGGTGAAGAACTGTGATGCGGTAACCATATTGGTGATGCACATCAAGATCCGGTCGACCGGCCATCAAATGACAGGCGGTCGAATCGTTTTCTTCGGTGCTAGACATGCGCGGGCTGCAGCCACTTCGGGCCGTTGGTCCATCCGAGTCTCTGAAGCCAAACACCTCCAGCGTGACTTGAAGTGTGCTGCTTGGCCGTGCGGAGCCGGGTCGGTTGCGGCGTCTTCAGCGCGAGCTAATTGCAGCGAGAGTTGACTACGGTGGCAGCAGGCACGCTCGGACCGATATACAGGCAAGACCGTAGCCAGCTGCCGTACGGAAAGCAAGCGCTTTCAAGTGCCACCTGGGCGCGAGTCACAGCGCCTCGCTGAGCGAGAGCTTATAGTAGAGTCGGTAGTGGTTTAACCAGCCGGGGGCATTCCAAAGGTACACCGTGGCACGGCCGGCTGGACTTCAGTCTGGAGAGCGAGAGCCGCGGCGGTGACAATAGATCGAATTGTGCCTCTGATCACGCCGGCCGCTCGTGTCTATCGCGTCTACAGTCCGGCCTCGGCCGGTGGACTCACTTTTGAATTCAACACACTACAAGCGAGTGCGAATCGCCATCTTCTGGTATGCACTTGATGAGCATGAACACCATAACCAGCAGCACCACGGTCGGCCAGAAGCGAGAGTTACCCGTGTCAGAGCCGGATGCGGTGGCCGCCGCATCGGCTTCCAGTGTAATGGCTGCGGGTCACGACGATGACGGCGAGGAGATCCTGGTGGAGGCTGAGCCGCTGCCCCACGAGATCGCGACGGACCCCTCGCTGCGCTGCCGGTACCCGAGCAAACATTGTCTGCGCATGCGTACGATCAAGAAGACTGGCGCGCTGCACAGCATGTGCGCGTTCCACCGCGCCAAGGCGAACCGCAACCAGCGGCGATTGGAGAAGCGCAAGCGGCTGCGGCTCAATAGCACAGACAGCGTCGCTGAGAGTATGCAACTGTCGGCTGTGGATGCGGTAGTCCAACATCACCAGATCAAGCAAGAACCGTCCATGACGCTGCTGATGCCGGCGTTCTCACCGAATCTTAAGAGCTTTATGGACGGTTCGATGGCGTCGTCGGTGGCACTGCAGTTTCAGTCACCGCGCGAAGTAGCGAGCGAATTCGAGCCGTTCCGTATGCCGGCGGCGCTGTTCCCGGAAGACCTAGAGGAGCTATGCGAGCTGGTGGACGTGAACGTGCGTCAGGTGTGCGCAGATCCAAGCGAGGAGGACATCCGATTGCTGTCGCAGCTCCTGTTGTAGGTGGAGGCGAGAAAGTGAATAAGTGAAAGTATTTAGTTAGAAGGAGCACGGTGTGGGATGAATGAAGATTTATGGATCGTTTGAATTGAGCGCAATACATGTAGCGATAACGATTTCAGTGGATAAAGACGACTTGTAGTAAACATGAAGTTGAGAACTACAACTTGAGATGGCGGTAGCTTCTCTTCATTATTTAAGTGTAGGCATTGAAAAGCTGCCCATCGGGATGAACACAGCTTGGTGGAATTGACAGGACGACTCAAATCTCTACAACAAGTTATTAGTATCTGACGAATATCGCACAAAAATCTTATGCTATCTCATAAAAGTTATGAATTTGAGCGGCCGGCGTGATCAGAGGCACAATTCGATCTATTGCCACCGCCGCGGCTCTCGCTCTCCAGACTGAAGTCCAGCCGGCCGTGCCACGGTGTACCTTTGGAATGCCCCCGGCTGGTTAAACCACTACCGACTCTACTATAAGCTCTCGCTCAGCGAGGCGCTGTGACTCGCGCCCAGGTGGCACTTGAAAGCGCTTGCTTTCCGTACGGCAGCTGGCTACGGTCTTGCCTGTATATCGGTCCGAGCGTGCCTGCTGCCACCGTAGTCAACTCTCGCTGCAATTAGCTCGCGCTGAAGACGCCGCAACCGACCCGGCTCCGCACGGCCAAGCAGCACACTTCAAGTCACGCTGGAGGTGTTTGGCTTCAGAGACTCGGATGGACCAACGGCCCGAAGTGGCTGCAGCCCGCGCATGTCTAGCACCGAAGAAAACGATTCGACCGCCTGTCATTTGATGGCCGGTCGACCGGATCTTGATGTGCATCACCAATATGGTTACCGCATCACAGTTCTTCACCGGCGAGGTGGCTGCATTCGACGCGCAGCAGGTTGAGATGCAAGTGCTGCGAATCAATGCGGCAGCGCTCAATGTGCGGCGCTCAGAGTGCCTCACGCGGCATATGGACGATTCGGCTGCGGACACTTGTGTCCACGCGCTACATGTTGTCCACGTTGCACACGCTGCCAGCGAGCTCGACGCCTGTTTCGGTGGCGCATTAGGACGCTATGCCTGACCTCGGCTTGAGTTAGTCGGCTCTCTCCTGTTCAGTGCTGCGAGTTACATTAAGGCACGTGGCTGGTAAACGCGGCCTTTAAAGAAGGAGGATGGAGAGATGCATGCAATGTAGGTGTCGACGCCGACGCCGACGCCGCTACACGACCGCGTTTGATCGGTCGTGGATACTTGTCAGCACATTGACGCCGAACATTCCACGTTCGTGAACGGCTCCCACTGTTGCAACTCCCACTCCGACATGCAAGGCTGACGAAGCTGCACCGAGAAGCGAGTCGGAGGCCACTATCACTGCGCTGCCAAGCCAGCCGCGACTCCGAATATCCACCATGCATGGCGTTCATCACACTGCATCGACGCGAGGGCGGCGTGACCAAGACGGATAGAACCATTGCAAGCAAGTCTCGGTGGGTCTACAGCATCTGGTCTCCAGTATGTCGTTCCTCGCCACATGGCTACACCGTCTCCTCTCTTCAACGTTAGCCTGTACTGCACTGAAGTCATGATCGTCACTCGGATTCGACTAGCCCATGACAGCCACATTCTTTTCGCTTGCGAGCGAGTGGTGTTGTTGCTAGATTGCATCTGTCCTTGAAATACGGACGCCAATTCGAACTCGTGTTTACTACGCCGGCGCGTCCGACTCGGATCGGATATGTGGTTGGTGCGTGGTCATTCGCCGTCGATACGAATCCGTGGTAACTCACTTCAACTTCAACAGCTTCAACATGCACGGTGCTTCTTTGACTGATGATGCTCTGGTGTTTGCAGTGTGAATGCTGCTCACGCCAGACAAACTTGGTAACCAAGAAGGCGTTGCTGCAGTCTAGGCCGGCTTGTGATACTCAACGTCACTTCGCTGTTAAGCCGTAGTGCTGAGGCGTAGCTGCACTCAACGGATGCGATTTCCCAGTCATGATCACCGCTGGCGTTCGGACTCGCTGATACTGCTCCTAACCTGAAAACCTATCGAATTGTACACAAATGTAGGAACACAACGGTCTACAGATAGCACAAATGAAAGCAAAATGCAACATGCATTGTATGAAAAACTGCCTATGGCACTGTCGTCGTGTGAAGAAATGAACGCGACAGGTCTTGCTGCTTAAGCCGCTTGCTTGATGGCGGTAGCCAGCTGCACGAACACGTTCTGGTGGTGCTCCCATTGTTGCTTGACGCTGTTCGCGTGCTCTGCGTCTGCTCCTTCCGTCTGCGTGAGCTGCTGAACGGCTGATCCACCACGCTGCAGCAGAGCCTGCAGTGACTCAGCACGCGCGCGGTTGTGCAGTACGACAGACAAAGACTGAACGTTGTGGCCGTTCAGCGCACGCTGCAGACACTCGGTTAGCAGCTCTGCAGGCGGAGCAGGCGGCACGTAGAGCAGCATGAGCACCAGTGTCTGGCATAGGCGATCATCGCCGGCGTCGTTGACGTCCGTTTGGCGTCCAGCGTCCGTCCGTCCGGACAAGAGGTG